CTGCTGAACTCAGTGGCCTTTGGGAGGCAAACTGGTCACCTATCATGAACTGCCATTAGGGAACAAGAGACTGAAGTGTCTGACTTGGGGGTAAGGTAGAATTTTTACCAAATATCTTTAAAGACAGAGACTGAAAGGCAGGAACCCATGGGCAAGCCTACCAGGAGACTCTGGGCTGTATCACCTACATTGTAATTCCACACTTCAGAACTCAAGCTTGACTTCCAACAGTGGGACTGAATTTTAGGAAGCAGTTCTTGAAGCAAAGGGCACACAGACGGTATTGAAAGAGCAGAGACAGGGAAAGGGAACACTTACCATGCCTCTGTCGGTGATCTGTGCAGACCCGTGAACCAGTGGCTCTTCCAGACCCAGATTAAGCAACAGCTTGGGAATCTGGATGGGAGAACCCACATCACAAATTAACGTGGCAGTGCTTTACACGCATGTTACATACACAGCTCAGAGATGGTTCTGGTTTCCATTGCACCTACGCATCTACCATAAATATTTTAACCGGTAGGAAGATGTAGGTTCCTGCATCTTAAATCTGCAACCAGCTATATACGTGTGATTTTATCATTTTCCCCTTTGTAAAGGAGACAGGTACACTTCCACTGCAGTGCACTGTATGTCTCCTCTCAGCTCATCTTCCCATCTGCAGAGAAGCAGTGGATCATGAGCAGCAAGCAGGCTGGCTCCAGCTGAACAGCGACATCCAATTCCTTACTACAACGTCCAGCATCAAATGCAGCTCAATGTGTTCTATGCCATTCAGTAATGCAAGAGAGGGAAGCAAGTAATCCAAAATATACACCAGTAAACTGGCATACGAAGATGACTATGTTCAGCCCCCTCGATAAGGCAGCACGCTAAGGTACAGGCAACAAAAAGGTATTTCAGATGTTTAAGGAGAAAGAAACTCAAGTTGATCAAGTGGCTACTCCAGATGGCAGAAAGCTGCAGAAGACAAGACTCTTGACAGAGAGAAGGCAGGTGTCAGATAAGGAGGCAAAGCAGTGATGGCAATAGAGAGAGACACGGTCCATGAGCTAGCCAAGAACAAACCCACGGAGAGCAATTCTGAACTGGCTCCTGAAAAGAAAGGGGAGCCAGCGTTGTAGGAGGACGGGATATTACTCCATTACTCCTCCTTTTCTGGGTGAAAAAGCAGCCTGAGCCATTCTGCATCTCCTGGTGTTGGGCTGGGGCCGAGGTCACCCGCCACACAAGAGGCGAGGACAGCACAGCTGTGAGATTCAGGGGAGGTGGGAGTCTCGTAGCGATGCGCAGACACCGCGCCACACGGAGTTACTTGCAGCGGTGATGCAATGTACGATGCATATTGGTAGGACCGAGAGGGCAGTCAGAGAAACGCAGAAGATACAGAAGGCAGCAAAGTGATGCGTGAGGACTGAGAGGGCTGTGTCACCCAAACTGTATGCTTGAGTGAGAGGTAGCGCGTGCCGGGGCCAGTGTGGAGCTCCACACATGCTGCTTGGCTAGCCGGGATGTATGCGCTGACTGTCTGTCAGGGAGTCCCACTGGAGTCACAGCACAGTGATGGGGTAAATGGGTTTGCCTGAGGGGACGAAAGGGCACTCATTACGTCTCTCTTCTCTCTACCCAGGCACCTGTTTTTACAAAACTTAGGAAGGTTTATCTTCGAGATCTCTATTGCTCTGTTAAATTTGGATGGAAATTGCCAGCAATTTCCAAAGCTGCTGTACGGTACGATATGTAGAACGACTTCCTTAGAAAGCTGGGATAACAAGAGCTGATGGCTAAGGAGTAAACCTCAAGAAGCAGATACCACTGGGATCAGTGGTATCCGGGATCAGATCAGAAAAGAAAGATCTCAAGATCACAAATGAGATGATACTTGCAGGAAATTGTTTGGATATTCATAATACGACCATCCCGTTTCCCTGCCAGCACGCAAGGATGGATAAACTGTGCTGGTTTTCATATGGTAAGAATTTTCACAGTTCATTCAGATGAGTGAGATGAGCCCAGAGGAGCTCACAACTCTGAGCTACCATTTCAGGCTGCCTGTTGTCCCCAGCAGACATTTCCACATCTGTCGATCTTTACATCTTGAAGATGGTCCTTCCCACTAGACTTGTAATTTCTTTGCTTTGTAAATACAAGAGTAGGTTAGATCCTTCAGTCCAAGGTGCTACAGAAAACCACCAGCTTGCCAAAGCATCACAAACCAGACCAGTCCACCTGGATGATGCTGGCTTGGGGAAGGGATGTTGTCCTCACCTGACATAGCTGGGCAGCCACAACAGATACATCCAAGAGAGGAACACACACCACAGCATACCTACAGCATAGGTTGGAAAGATTCCTGCTATCCAGTGTTGCTCTGTGGGAAGGGAAAGAAATGAGGAAAGGCTCTTGCCCTCCTTTGTGGAAAGGGTGGTGTGGTGAAATAAATAAAGGATTTTACTGGCCCTTATTAGAGTCAGTCAATGGTAGTGCAGCCTGAGGGGTGACCCAAGAAAGCTACCAGCTCAAGCATTTTGCTCTGAAAAGGAAGGTTAGATAGGGGGCAGGAGTCAGAGGGAGTGCCTGGGTCAAGGGAAGGTTTAAGATGTGTTTGGATTTAATTCATCTTACAAAGAAACTATTTCCTGCTATTGAAGATAACTCCCTTCTGAACCCACCTGCCCACACACAGGCTGCAGGCATCCAGAAACCCAGCTGGAAGTGAAATGATGTGAGTAAAGTGTTTCCTCACCAGAAGGGCAATGGGTTAGGATGCCATTCCTTCCCATGGCTACTGGACTGCTACTGCTCTGGGAGCTTGTCCTCTTGGACAGCAAAGTTACAGGTCCCGGCTTTGCAGCAAGGGAATCACAATCTGGTCTGTGAAGACCAAGGTAGAGCAAATAAGACACCAAAAGTATTCCTTAGAGACCAACAAAACGGGTTAAAAAAAAGCAGATAAAATTAAATGTGTATCTTTTATGAGGATTAGCCAGAGAAACAAAATGCAGTGGCACTGAAAAAAAGGAACTCTTTTCTCACAACCCCTCATTAAGCTCCACTTTATGTTTTACCTCCACATAGTTTCCTTAGAAATTTTACCATTCTGGAAAAGTTAAAATTTCAAAGAAAATCCTTTCCAACGTTGAAGGCCCCAGTGTGATTTCAAAACACTAATTCTATGTACCACCCAGGAGCAAACACATTTCCTGAACTGACCAAAATGTAGAATATTTAGGTTAAAAAAACCCAAAAACCCAACCAACCAAAAAAAAAAAAACCCACATGGAGTCTGACTGGCTCAACTCAATAACTTTTTACTGAAGTGGCTGCTGCCAAATGTACACGCACACTTCCCCTAGCAAGCGGTGTTCTCCCTTAACCCTTTGGGCACACTTGGTACTGATATTCTTGGGGAAAGTTTTCGTTTCCTGACAGCAGTGCTGCCTCCCTCCTCCCTTCCTCACGTCCCTAGCTGCAAAACAAACCACTTTATTTCTGTGCTCCTCTACAGGCACCAAGGAGAAAGAGCTCCAGTGTGTGAACTCACTCTGCCATGCTGCAATTCTCATTTGCATAAATTCATCCCTTCGTTTTACTAATAAGAAATCAACTCAATCTGAGAGCAAAGGCAAGGCACTGACCATTGCCAGGGTTCCCCATGCAACTTTATCACTCTCCCAGCAATCTTCAGTTTTGCCCTACTGCACTCACTCCCTATCAGTCTTTCAGAACGAGAGGAAACTGTCCCCTCCTGATAGCAATGCAGTTCATCACTAGCAGAGTGAAGTGAGAACCAGTACATTGCATCATCCAGTGTAGTAAAAAAAACCAACACCACCAAAAAAAACCCCAAAACATATTAAAAGCTTTTAATCAGCAGCTCTTGAGCTAGTACAGGATTTCTCTAATCCTCCCCTGTGATCTTTCATTGTTTCATTTCACCTCTGTGTTTACCTGGAGTGCCCCTGTAGTGAAACCTGTTCATAAAATAATTATAATTCTTTCATAGCAGAAAGCATCTTCCATAGGCAAAAGCATTAAGCAATTTGAATGTGTGGGTAGTTTAAACCCTCCTGCAAATCGTTAATAACCTTTGTCATTATTTCTTACATAAACACCTATTAGGAAGAGTCCAGTCAGAACTGATCTTGCTTTTAGGACATGGAGGACATTGATTAGATGATCTATCAAAGCTACTTCCAGCCTCATTTTCCACACTTCTTGGCTCTTGGGCTGCAGGTCTTGCCACCCCCAAAAAAGAGGACTGTGTGGGGTGGGGGTTTTCTTAGCTAAATCAGAGCTATGGAGTAAATGAGTGACAAAACCCTTTCCTGGCCTTATGTTCATATCCAGCAACCAGTACTGGGGGTGTGTGGCAGGGTTTTGGTACCTGGGGAGGGGCCATAGGGGTGGCTCCTCTGAGAAGCTGCTGGAATCTTCCCCAGCTCCAAGTCAGACCTGCCTCTGCCCAAGGCCGAGCCAACAAACACCTCTGTGATTAATGTATTTAAGAGGGGAAAAAAAACCTGCTGGGAAACTTGCAGCGGAGAGAGGAGTGGGGTGTGAGAGAGACACCCAGGCACGCACCAGGGCAGTGCAGAAAGATGGGGAGGCGGTGCCAGAGAAGAGGCTCCCCGGCAGCCTGTGCCCTGCAGCCATGGAGGGTCATGGGGGAGCAAAGAATCCCCTGCAGCCTGTAGAGGACCCCACACTGGAGCAGGGGGATACCCAAAGGAGGGTGTGACCCCATGGGAAACCCGTGCTGGAGCAGGCTGCTCCTGCAGGACTGCACCCTGTGGAAAGGACCCACGCTGGAGCAGTTCAGGAAGAATGGCAGCCCGTGGGAAGGACTCACGTCGGAGAAGTTCCTGGAGAACTGTCTCCCGTGGGAAGGACACCATTCTGGAGCAGGGGTAGAGTGTGCTGACCCTCCCGAGGAGGAAGGAGCAACGGAGATGTGTGATGAACTGACCCCACCCTCCATTCCCGGTCTCCCTGCGCTGCTGGGTGGGGCAGAGGGAATGAAATGGGGAGCAAAACTGAGCCCAGGAAGAAGGGAGGGGAGATGGGAAGGGGCTTTTAAGATCTGGTTTTATCTCTCATTATCCTACTGATTTGATCGGGAAATAATTAAATTGGCATTTTTTCTCCAAGTCAACTGTTCTTTCCGTGACTGCAACTGGTGAGTGATCCCTCCTTGTCCTTGTCTCAACCCACAAGCTTTTCCTTACATTCTCTTCCCCATCCCACTGGGGAGGAGTGAGCGAGTGGCTGCGTGGTGCTGAGTTGCCAACTAGGCCTAAACCACAACATGTGCCCAGATAACATGGCAATGGTTCAATTCCCAGACACTCCTCGGCTGTATCACTGGGAGCCACTCCTGTAGGCTAAAATGCCCATCATCTACTGCTGTATTCCCACATGGCAGTTCCATGTTTTACTCACCTGCCGGTTAGCTTCGATATACAACCCAAGAGTATTCGCTCGGAAGCACAGCCCTTCTTTCATTATATGGACGTAGCAGCGCACTTTTCCTTCGTGGAGAGTTTCATTCATATCTCCTCTATGATCATTCCAACACGAGTTATCTGGAGCAGGTTTCAGCAAGCTATTATCTTCCTTTATGAAACTGTAAATGTCTGGAGAACACACACATGCATGAAGTTAGACAGGATTTAATGAAATGCCTTCTGAAGAGGAATACTATTAAAATACTGTTGGTGAAGGGAAATCTTTGCCTCACATCATCCAAATGGCTAGATACTCAGCAATCATTAACAGATTTTATCACACGTAGTGGGTAAGTGCTTATTTTTATTCTGCAGGTGGGAATCAAGGGATCAGGACAAATGCAATGTTTTGCCCAAGGTCACACAAGGAGACAACAGAAATGCTAAAAATAAATGACAAGATCTAAGATCCTGTCCAGTTCCCAGTGCAAGGAGGTTAAGGCTTACTCAGTTGCCCTACACAATTTTAGGAAATCCCTCCTAAAATTACATTTTCAAAAGCACATTTACTAATATTGTATTCCAGAAATAAAAGTGTAGAGCACCTAGCTGATTTGCTCTTGATTTACACCAACATAAGGGAGGAGATAAATATTTCTATAATGAACAACAGTGTTTGAAAAAGAAATCTACTCGAATCTTTGCTGTCATTTAGAGAAAAAAAAAAAAAATCCCCAAGTGAGTGTTTCAGGCTAATTCTGTACTCTAGTCAATAATCCAGCAGCATATGGGCTTAAAAACCTTCATCAAATCTTTGATACTTGCACTGACCTAGGGATGCTTGTTCTTTTTTCTTTTGGTCCTCTTCTTTGTTGTCTAGTCCTCGCTGCAATGATGTAGGAGAAGAGAACTGTTTCCTAACCAGATGTGGAATCAGTTCACTCCGGAGAGATGTGATTGTTCTGGGGAAGGAGAAGCACACACAAAGTCCATGAACACCAAAACTCACGTGTCTTAATTTCCTTTGCATATCGTTATCAGACATTTTGAACATTTTTCATAAGAATGAATCAAAATGCCAGATACTCCAAGATATCTGGCACAAAGAAAATATCCTAGAGTCACATGCTTCCTTAATGCATTAAAATATAAGGAAGATTCAAAATAAGGGAAAAGATTCATCCTCAGAACTAATTCCCCTATATTTTAACAGAGATACCTATAATTGAACATGGCATCACCCTGCAATTCTTGCTTGTGTGCAGATGGAATGCAGAACAGTACCAACATCCCAATGACAACAACTGAAATCCACTTTATGTGGCTTAAAAAATGGCATCAGTTGACAGGAAAAGAGGGAATAAAGTGCCTATAGTGGAAAAATCAAAGAAGATCCTTTTCTTTGTGACAAAAAAAAGGAAATCCTCAAGAATAGCTGAAATATCTGATCCTTAAATGAAAATATCTATGACACAGACATCAATGATGTTCTCCTGCTCACAGGATGCATCAAGAACATTTTAAAGACTCAGTTCTTTAACCCAGAGAAATCAATACATTTTAACAAGTTTAGGTCCCAAGAGTTTCATGGTTTTTTTGGTGCCCCAATTCAAAATACATCAGCCAACAGAAAGTTTCCAAGGGATTCAGTTGGCGATACACCCATCCTCCCTGCATACAGATTTCAACTTCTATTATATTCATTTTGATACTCCAATAGTAGGAGGCAGAGAAATCACATGAGGGGTTTGTGCTAAAGCAGGGACTTGATCCCAGGCCACCTCTGCCTCAAACAAGGACCCTGATCACCATCACCATATTATCTTCTTTCATTGATTTATACATTGCAGTAACTCAAGAAAACCCCCTCCCTAATACACAAATACCAATGTAGGAAGTCTACTGTACAATGGGTTTATAACCCTGGTAATTAAATTTTGACTGTTAGAAGATAATTTTATTTTTCAGTAAGGTATTTGGAAAAAAAACCCCACCAAATCAATAGTTTTTAAAGTTGAACGGCATGAGATGCAGTCTTAAAACAGCTTTACTGTTGTTGTTTCATTATTTTAACAATCTGCACTTAGTTACTGAATTGTGGATTATTTAAAATAGTGCTTGGGAAAATCATGTGGAAAATGAACACAAACTTGGCATGTGTAAGAGGAAGTGCTAGACTTCAGAGGAAGGATTGGGAGAACTAAACACAAAGAGCTTGGCTAGAGGAACTCAACAATGATAACCCACAAAGAGGAGTTATTTAGAATGGATGACAGCAAAACTAGGAACTAACTATAGCTTAAATTTAAAAAGGAATGTACTAGAATGAGTCTCCTGAAGGTGATTTTGGGTGGCAAAATCTCTAGCAAAGGGGGATCTTAAACAGGTCAAACTTTCAGAGACATACATCTCATAACCAGCCCAGGCTCCTGTTCAGGTTGATGATTCTGAAACAGAAAAAGGACCAAAACAGTTCTTCCTGTCTCTAACTTGGATGGGAAGACTAAGATGTGATCACCAGTTCAGCCCTACGAACAAATACAGCGTTTTCCTTTTTTTTGACAAACTTCTCCATCAGTCCTCAACTGCAGGTTGTGTCACACCCTCCATCCTGCAGTGGGATGATCTAACCCAACCCAGGTCTGAAATTCTGCTTGTATTTTTTGTTACAGCCAAGGAAAAGCTCTAGCGTTCAGTCTGCGCTCCTCCTTGAAAATAAGATTATAATCACCTTCAGATAGCTATATTTCAGGAACTAATGAAGCAAAGCACTTCATTCTTTAATCACCAAACCTCTCCCTGCTAACCACTTACAGGCACGCTCTGCCACGGCCGCCCTGGCCCCGCGCTCCGACACACGTGTGGCTCTGCAGATGGGCAGTTTACTGGCTTACAATGTTTGCCTGCAGCTGTGCCATTCAGCAATGATTTCCTGCTTGGGTTTTATACTCCATCCAAAACCGACAATCCTGTGTTCCCCTCAGAGGCTGGCCATGGCATTTATAAGATATATTACCTATAAAATATCCAAGTATTTGGCAGTCTTAAATAGTGTGATGCAGAGGACAGCACAACATGGTAGGAAATGAAAGCAGTGGAAAGGAGGAAAGACAAAGTTTTGCCTGTTTTTTGATGGTTTACTCTTTGTTGGCCAAACTCCTGAAGCTTTCCTGCAATTCTCTGAAGTGTTAGCCACATTCCTTCAGTAAAGGTGGAGTAAATCTCTGGGTCATCCATAAGATGTGGCTCAGAAACACACCCTTCTTGCTGGAAAAGGAAAACCAGGAAGGTTTGCCTTTGCTTGCTGTTTAAGCAGAATTTATATGAGGCATTGAAGGAATTTGCCTTTGGAAAGTATTAAAAAATAGGCAGTAAGGCACTCAGTGACAAAAATTTGGGAATTTTTTGTGACAGATCTTGCAACTGCGGCTATATGAAGTGTTGGCATGAGAATATTATCTGACTGTCAACAGCAGGGGAAACCAAACATCTGTCTGGGACTAGGAACAGAATTTAAATCGAAGGAGGGATAGGACTGAAGACCCTTCATCAAGACTGAAAAAAATCAGCAGGAGTTTGGAAGGGCCAACTAGCCTGTAATTTAGATTCAGCGGAAAACAAACCCAAAAGATTTCTGGTATAGTGTGTTAAAAATGATTACAGTCAAATCCCAAATACACGGGCCTATATTAAGATGAAATAAGTGTTACTGAAGAAGGCAGTCTTTTTCATTCTCTTCAGGTTTTACAATTTGGCATCCCCCTGGTTTCTAAGCCTGTTATTTTCTTTAGCATGAAGAAGTAAGAATGAAATACCCACCGAGGTCAACATAAGGAAAAATCTACTATGACCAGAAGAAATAAAGTGGGAAGGTGGGCAGAAGGAGGTGAAGGGACACAAGATTTTGGCAGAAATCCAGTTCTAAGCCAAACTGGAGTAACCATGCTCTGACAGCCTTCAGGAAAATCCAGACGGCAGAGGATAAAAATGAACCTGCTTTTGAGAAACATTTGCCAAAATAAACATGCTTTCATAAATTCCAGCTCACGACAGGCCTTTTTCATTATCCTTCATTCCCCAAAATCTGATTTTTTAAGTGATACCTGTCTGTTTTCACCTCCACAGAAAGTAGTAGGTTTTCAATTAAACAGCCAAAGATTGACAGTGCCATTAAATTGCTGCTTGTACAGGAAGGGGACTAATCCCCGGAGCACCTTATGTGGCTTCAATCCCGTGAGAACAACAGGAGATAGCAGCAATTTTGAAAGGGGTCGATTCTGATGACATTTTAAGCATATAAAATCAGAAATATATCTGGGATGGAATTCTCCATTCAGAACAGGTCACAACAAAGGGGGGTGCTGGCAAGAGAAATGTGTGGGGGAAATGAAGACAACAGGGCAGTTGAAATTCATGGTGCGTTTGCAAGAAACAGCTGGGAATTCAAGAGAAGATAACATTTTTAAGAACAAAGGAACCCTCTTGCAAAATCTTCATTAAATGTACCTACTAGCTTAGAGCACACATTTGCAGTCAGCTCTGCAGGCTCAGATCCAGGTATAAACCTAGGATATTCGAGGTTAATTTTACTTAAAAACTAAAATACTAAGGTACAAAAATGGATACTTAGTCAAACAACTGTAACTTTACCAAGTATTATCACCACCAGAGAGAAATCAGTACCATGCCTTTAGAAACCCTTTATCCCTGGGCCCTGTGCACTACACCTTCCCAGTGTTCCTGGGGTTTCTGCATGACAGCAAGGGCACAAGTAAGGCTCGTGCTAAATTAAAAGCTTTACTTGTGAAGAACATTAGGTGAAAATACCCTACATCTTTAAGTTTCATATTTAAACACAGCTACACAGAAGTTTTCAGCAAGTTTTACCCACAGATGAAATTAGAACAGTCTGTGATAAGGCAGAATTAAGTTTGTATCTCTGTATATTGTATTATATCACTACATATATTACAGCCCACAGAGGGCCAACTTCTACTTGTTGCTGAAATGCAACTGCCTCTGGGATGAAGGGAAGCTTATCGAAACTTTAGTGAGAAATAAAGAACGACGGAGCCAACTGAAACACGAGAAAAGTTTTGGGGAAAAAACCCAAATATTGACCGCCTACACTTTAAAAAATATGATTCAATGGGCTGCGAGTTCTGCTCTTTGACATAGGTATTGTTGGAGACTGTCTTTCAGATGACACAGAAAATCATGGCTCTGACCAATGCTGGTAAAGAAAAAATGTCATCAAATATTTTATAACAACAGAAGAGCCCATTTAAGTCTAATTATAGGTGACCCTGTAGAAGTGTAGGTACCAGGAGGTGCTGTTTGGCTTGACCCACAGCAGGAAGGGGAGCATCCACAGCTTTTATTTCCTGCAGCTAGTTCTCACTAGCTTCACACACCCTGAAAACAACTGTCAGTCCCATTTACCGGCTGTCATTCATTTTCATTTTCCATGTTTAATGTTAAACACCATAAAACGGTATTAATGACTATTAGCATTTTAACATCCTCCCTGTTTTATTAATCTGTGATGAAGCATGAAATCTACCATTGCTTCCAGCACCCACCTGGGAAGTCTGCTGTTCTCTCCACGGGTAGTTTGCAGGGGGTCTCCCCTGCTATCATTATCAGCACAATCAGCTACATCTACAGGTGCAGAGTGTTTGTGATTCCCCACTACAAACAAGCAGATTATTAGCCCTTTTATACCTATTTTTGTCCTTTTTCTTTTTTTTTTTTACAGCCTAATGTTAGCTCTTGCACAACAACGCAAGCATATGCTGGGTTGGGTTCTGATCTTAGCTCCACAGCTTTCAACAGAGATTCTTCAGATCACATCAAAAGGAGAACATGAGCCTGTGTTTCAGACTGGTGCTCATAATTAACGTTAGAAATGTATACATAAACACAACTAAACAAATCCTAAGGCACTTATGGTTTTGGCCAA